AAGACATTTCCCCCTATTTGCTCTAAATGTTATTATCGACATTTTTGCACATAAAAGAAACCCTTTCTTTTTGCCAGCCTCTCCTGACGCTATTATTGTGTCACTGTCCCTAGCCCAGTTTTACCAAACGTTGTTCTCCCCATTTTCACTAATTCTTGTCAACATTTCTAGACACTCCATCTTTCACACAGAGTTGAACCTTGCTGGAATCTAACACGGACCGCTAGAATTGTTTCATTTTCACGTGTTTTGACTAAAATATTGAATAGTAGACATTAAGCGCGGAAGAAAAATGATTGCAAACTAATAGCAAAAAGTAATGAGAGGAAACTGCAGATAAAAAATATATTATTCTCACAAGGCCTCCAACAAACACTTTAATTATTTTCCTAATCTGTATAAATAAACAGGATATTTTGAATCCTTTGAATATTATATCTTGAGCAAAAACAATTAACTTTATTATAGTTTTTGAATTTTGACGGTTTTGAAAATTAAAAGAATGCAGTTTTCATTCAACTGTAGGCCGTCTATCAAATTATCTTGGATGCGACGATAACAAGTAAATAAGCGCAAAAAATAAAAAATAAAAAGACAATTTTATCGAGAAAAAGTTGGATTGCTTTGAATTGCAATTTAAACATGTTATTATTCTGGCCCAGAATATTTGGAAAAAGTTATTTCGATCAGTTTTATTGTTAAAATAAATAACAATAGTAAAAAAAAAGGGATTGAATTCCTTCCAAAATTTAATCAGTAGAGTCGCATTAACTTTTTGAATTCCGAAAATATTTTCCCCAGATCAAGAACGCTAGCGAATTGATAAAAAGCAATATTGAAAGCTTTTTTGAATAAGAAGCTAATATTTTCCGAAATTCTACTTTAAGTATTAGAATTTATTTTCGTAACAGGAAATGGAAGATGAATCAATTTGGAAATAAAAATTTTTTTTTAGGAAAGTTATTATTTCGCACGTTGGAATTTACCCCAAGTTATATTAACGTTGGGAAACTTTTCACCTCTGGGCAGCTGCTAGCAACTTCAATATGTAGAGAATAAAGCATAAAATCTATGGATGAATAATTCAAAGTAGGAGAGATCAGAATGATATATAAGCTTTGGCTTTTAAGTGTCTTTAGGAAATCCTAGCTTTCTCTGTAGCCACTCGTTAGTGAATTCTTCAGGATTTGTCAAAGATATTGAGACTGTTTAACTTTAATTAAATGCAAAAAATGCTCAATCTTATATTTGATTTTGTGAAAAATAACTTAGAGAAAAAAAGACGAGTTGTACGTGTTCATGAAGTGCTATTAAAGTGCTATTTTGAGGTTATTCATTTTGTATCATTCAATTGGAAACTGGATCGATTTTTTAAAAGTAAGTCAGAAAAATGCATCTGCTAGCTCTAGGGGGCATACGCAGTCTAATGGAAGTGAGTTTGTGTAATGGAATTTTTAGATTGAAAAACTCATAGAGGCAATCTCGTTAGGTAAATTAATATAAGATGACATGGGGTTTTCTAGCTATTGACGCGAATATTTGTACAGGCGTACACGGTTTTATTTTATGTGCCCCTCAAATATACCAATCAATTTTCCAGCCAAAGTTCAATGTAGGTTTTGAGAGGATTGAAGCTTATTTCTTATTTAATTTGAAAGACACGCGTGGGATATGGGAAATACAGGGCTGGTTTGAGTTTGTACAGGATACGAGACAGAAAGAATAGTAAAATCATCATTAGACTAACAATATAGCAGCAAAATGTTATGTTATGTCTTTCTTTCACTGGTATTTTGCGGTCTTTTTTTTTCAAGTTTAATTTTTTAAATAAAGGTTCAAGTGTTTTTACTGAAAAAAGAATCCGAATCAAGGACTGACGGAAAAACAAACTTGGGAATTATCTCGGCTTTGGTCTTGCAGGAAGGCGTAGGTGTGTTCATGTGCTCTTTGATGGCTTCCGGCTCTGAACTGAACCAATCGGAAAGCAAGAATATTTATGGGATCCAATCATAATGATTGGACTATATGGAAGCCATTTGGTAGTCATGGATACCAACGAAGGCCTGAGGGCCAACGAATAAATATATGAAAAACTTTTTTTCTTAGCCGCTTTATCGTGGCAACGCAATAATTCGAAATACTTAGGGGGAGGGAGTGCGAAGGAGACCACTCCATCCCTCCCAACTCCAGCTTTGTAAGGTTTGTTTTTCTAACAAATACATATCTTCACAGTCGGCAGAGAATGTGGAATAAGACCTGAAGGCGAAGCGAAAAGAATCGTTGGAGGTCAAACGAGTGAACCTGGGTCATGGCCTTGGCAGGTTGCGCTGTTGATAAACGACACACAGTTCTGTGGTGGTGTATTGATCTCGCCTGAATGGGTAGCTACTGCGGCGCATTGCTTTCATGGTAAGTCTTTATGGAATTACCCAATGAAATTAGACCACCATCACGTGATGGCATCCATGACAGGAGACACTACAATAGAGTCTTTTCATCCGAGAAACTGAATTCTTTCTCATGTAAATCTTGTGATGGTGCAAAGCCTCTACCATCACCAAACTTCAATTCCTTTCGCTAACATCACTTTATACAGGATCTCGTAGCGGTGAAGGTGCTCGCGACCAAAGATCGATTTCCAGCCTTGGTGTCGTACATAACGCATGAGCCCTACTCAGTATTGTTATTTTTATGTTTATGGTTAAGGGGGGGAGGGGGGGTTCTACAGTTTTCCCCACTTTTAAAGTTAAAATTCCCAATTGGACACAATAGAATTAACAAAGAACTCTTTGTGGAAAAGCCACTGCATATTGGTCTCTAAATGAATTGCAAAATGCCAACGTTGTAAGAATTTGTTCTTTTTTTTACAGACAGTTATTCATCAACAAATCGTGATCACTGGACGGCAGTGCTTGGAGAACACAAACTCCAGGAAAAAGAAGTTTTCGAGCAGATTATCGACGTGAAGGCTATCTACTTACATCCACTTTACAAGTCTATGTTTCTTGAAGGAATCTTTGATACGCCGCCTGATTTTGATATCGGTAAGATGATATTAGTTATTCCGTGCTTAGAAAGTGAGTGGAGTCGACGGTTCAAAAACTAGCATCGATTTGAGTCAAATTACAAAAAAAAATTTAACTGTATATTTTTCACTTACTTGCACAGCTCTGGTTCGTCTGGAACGGCGTGCAGTCCTAGACAGGTACGTATCACCCATCTGTTTGCTACCACCGCGAAAGACCTTCCCCTGGGGCAAGTCCTGCGTCATCACTGGATGGGGACACACCAGATGGAATGGTACCAAACCAGAAGCTCTGAATGAGGCCGAGGTCAATCTTGTCCCCACATGGGTCTGCAATGTTGCGAATTCCTACAACGGCACCATCCATGAAAGAGCGCTGTGCGCTGGCTTCAAGGAAGGAAAGGTTGACGCATGTCAGTATGACAGTGGCGGACCGCTGGTTTGTAAAGATGAAGGACGCTGGTACTTAACAGGTTTAGTGTCGTGGGGACATGAGTGCGCACGTCCCCACAAGTATGGTGTTTATAGCAATTTGCAAGTGATGACACCTTGGCTTCTTCGTCAAATGGAGAAGCACACTGCTTATCCCTGGCTAAAATGAATTAATCTACATCAGTGAAAAACGTCTGCGCATGCTCACAGTCTCTATGCAAATAAGACGAAAACGTCTTTGTTCTATTGTAAAACATATGCAAATCAATTTGACTTTCGAACTGACAAATTCCCTAAAACTTTAACTCAGTTATCGAAACTTAAGGCTAATTCTTTGATAATACAGTATTTTACAGTATACTCACGAATTTTTAAAATCTATTTGGAGAAAACAAGCATTTCTTTTCATACTGAAACACTCTTGAATCGATGCTTTGCACCATCACTTGATGGCAGCCATGACAGGGGGCAGGAAAAAATGAATCTAGTCTGATCTGATTTACATGAGAAAAAATTCAGTTTCTTGAAAAAGAGTGTTATTGTACCTCCTGCCATCACGTGATGGACCAAAGCCTCTGTTCTTGGAAAACGTGCTGAAATGCAGGCACGCATGCGTAGATGTTTTTCGCTCGTGTCGAACAAATATAGTTTTCTTTGTTTCCTTATGTTAGAGCTGTTTGCAGCTTTCTATTGAATCCACACCTTCTGTATGTGGGGATTCCTTTTTTCATCGCACCTTCTGTTATGTCTAGATTTCTGTTGCATCCACACCTTCTGTATGTTGGATTCCTTTTTTCATGGCACCTTCTGTATGTCTAGATTTCTGTTGAATCCACACCTTCTGTATGACTAGATTGCTATTGCATAAACACCTTCCTAGATTACAGACCCTTGTAAATTTGATTGGTGGAATCCAAGTTACGAACAAGACGCCAACGTCTATGAGCTGTCTTTTTAGTTTAGTTAGTCTTTTTTAATGACTGATAATGCCACACCCTTCATCACTTTTTGATCGAGAATCGAGTTGGTATATGGCGTCAGCAACCGTGCTCTGTCCATTCATATAACACAGTTATCGAATAATCGCAGCGCTCATACTATCTAGACTATTAAATAAATCTAAAGAGATACTTCACTCTAGAATCGAGTTGGTATATGGCGTCAGCAACCGTGCTCTGTCCATTCATATAGCACAGTTGTCGACTAATCACAGCGCTTATAATATTATAGCCTATTAAATAAATCTACATAGATACTTCACTCTATAATAGGGGTCTTGTTAAATTTGTGCGTGGTTAACGGAATTACTTAGCTGCCAAAATTCTCAATGAATATAATACACCGGGTAGAAAAGTCATATGTTGTACAGTGTTTTATTCATGAGACTAAATGCCTTCTAT